CCCCAAAACCCCAAAACCCCAAAACCCCATGTATATAAGAATAGTAATAAATACAAGTATGATTATTAATATTAGTTAATAGATAAAATGAAAAAGGATAAAAAGCTGAATGCTGCTCTGACTAAGACTAAAATGCTCACTGATGAGATACAACTTAGGCTTAAGGAGCAAGATCAGATATTTAATACTGAAGATAGAGGATTTATTGAGGTAGAGCATGAAAGAGAGCGTACACTTAAAGTTACACAAGCTTAATTGAAGGAGATATTACCAGTTTAAGCTGCTCAGAATATATTTGACATTTCTTTGAATGAGTTTGGACCATATAATGGGCTAGATGTCACAAGAAATGGCAAGAATATATTATTAGGAGGAAAGAAAGGTCATGTCTCAGTTATTAATTGGAAAAAGAAAGATCTTAAAACTGAATTCCATGCAAAATAACTAATAAGAGATGTGAAGTTTCTGTAAAATGAGAAAATGTTTGCAGTTGCTCAAAAGAAATATTTGCATATCTATGATTCAAGTGGTATAGAATTGCATTGTATGAGGGATCACCAAGAGCCGAAGCTACTTGATTTTTTACCTTATCACTACTTGCTTGTTTCTGCATCTAAACTTGGATTTGTTAAATATCTAGATGTGTCCATTGGATAAGTTGCAGCTGAGATAAAAACTAAAAGAGGAGAGCCACTTTGTATGCAGTAAAATGTACAGAATGGAGTTATTTGCGTTGGCCACACAACTGGAGAGGTTACAATGTGGACTCCAAATATGGGTTCTACTCCTGTAGTTAAAATGCTGACTCATCCCTCAGCACCAGTCTTATCATTAGCAACATCAAGATGTGGCAAATATATGGTAACAACTGGTAAGGACTCTAAGTTCAAAGTTTGGGATATAAGAAATACTTTCTAGAGTGTGCACACATACTTTAGTCCAGTTCCAGCAGTTACATCAACTTTCTCTGATACTGGTTTAATTGGCTTAGGTTTTGGGAATGAAGTTTAAGTATGGAAAAATGCATTTGCAGAAAAACAAAAAGCTCCATATATGAAATATAGACTACCAAATAAGTCTTAGGTTTCAAAAGCACTATTTTTACCATTCGAGGATGTTTTGGGTATATCTCACGCTTCAGGATACTCTTCTATTATTGTTCCTGGATCAGGCGAGGCAAATTTTGATGCATTTGAAGCCAACCCATTTGAAACTAAGAAGCAAAGACAAGAAGCTGAAGTACACAATCTCTTATAAAAGCTCCAACCAGAGACTATTTCATTAAAAGTAAACACGATAGGAATGATTGATGACGCTGCTCCAGATGTAAAGGCAAAGGAGTAAAGAGAATTGGAAGAAGCATAAATCGAAAAATTAAGAAAGAAAGACAGAAAGAAGAACAAAATGAGAGGTAAAGCTAAGATTGGCAGAGAAATGGGAAACAAAACTCATTAGGTTCATGAAGCAATGAGAGAAAAGAACAAGCTTTAATATCAGAAAGAATATCAAAAGACTAAACAAGAACAGGATATGCTTGAAAATGATATGGAATTCCTTGATAAAATTGAAGATAAGTTTGATCCTCTTGAAAGCTATTTTATCTAATAGAATAAACCAAGCAAGAGACAGAAGTTCTGACGTAGGAATCGGACAGCCAGAGTATTATTCATTCTCTGATTAATTAATATTTATTCTTAATTTACCTTAAATGTTTGTCAAGTTAAAATAGAAAACTACATAATAATAATTATCATTCATCTAGCTAGATCTTTCAACCAAGTAGAATTTTTAAATCCTTTCTTGTGCTAAAATAGGGTCTTATATACTACTCTTTAAATAGTCCAGTTGAAATAGGATTGCCATCTAAATTGATCTTTTATAGCCTTGGATTTCCATAGAGTCTTTGGATTATTGCAGCTGCAGTCTCATCATCAATAAAATCTCTTGAAAGCTCAATATAGAGAAGATTTGGATTTCCAATTAAACTATCAACTAAGATCATGAGTGAAAAAGGTTCTGTTTTAAAATCAGTGAATTTAAAGTCAGTCAGAATTGAAAACACTCCATTGAAAAATAATTTAGCAACAGCTGTTGTACCATCTCCTAACACTTATATGTCGCTACCTAATTATTCAGGTAAATAAATATATGTATTACTGTGTTTGACATGCTTGTCGCCGCTAATATGGATCTTTACAAAAAGGATCTTATGGCTATTGTTAACAAATTCTAAGAATTTGCACAAATTAAGCAGACCCTGTTCACTTTCGCACAGAAATTCTGCTTCAACATATTAAGCTTAAGAGCTGTCATCCTTAAGTACAAGTTTTAGCCCACGAACTCTTAACTCTGCATAGTTTTCTTGCACAATGAATTTTTAAATGCTATGTGCAATATTAATATGTTTACGAGCAAAGATCTTACCTTTCAAATAATTGCTTTGAGTCAGGACATTTGTCTCCGCCTTACAAATAACTATTAAATTCCATAAATCCTAATAATTAATTTATTATTATTTTATAATTGGCTCAATTACTTTCATAAAATATTTTACGGGGTTTTGGGGTTTTGGGG